GAGCTGCTGTTTGATACAGCACCCATGCCCAGCTGAGCATTCCCTTGCCTGCATTCCTCCCCCCCAGCTGCCCCTATCATTCACGGCCCTCTCCATTACAGGCACCTGTTAAAACAAGCCAGAAAACTGATTTCACTGACAAGGGAATGTGGCGTGGGGGGAAAAGCTGCATTTCAGCTGGGCATGGTCTGCAGTGCAGTTCACTGTGCAGAGCTAGGGCAGCTTTGGGGACAAGATGGGCCCTGGCAGGCAAGACAGCAGTGTGGGTGGCTGGAGGCAAGGGCAAGGGCATGGCTGCAGCAGAGCTTTGCCAGGGGCTGAGGGAGAGATCCCAGGCTCTGTGGGACCCCTCTACACACAGAGCATCCCCACTGTGCCCGCTGAACCCTGTGGCAAACAGTGCCAGCACCCAGACTCCACCCACATCCCCTGGCAGGGGCTGTGCCCCTTCCCTCTCCGCAGCTCCACTTCTGATAGGTCCATTCAGATAAGGAGCACCTTTAGGAATATTCCATGAGCAAAGCTCAAACCTGTCGGCCTTCCCCTTGCAGTGGCAAAAGGCAGCAGCACTTCCACCAGCAACACAAGTGTGGGTTGGTGGTGGGTGGTGGGGCTTTTTTTTTTTTTTTTTATTTTCCCCAAAGGGAATTTATTGCTTTCATAAGGCAGCTTTCTGGACTGAAGTCCTCCCTTTATCTCCAGAGCCAGAACAGCTGATTGTACCCAGTACTTTTCCTTCTGGTGCCCCAAGAGGAGGGGCAGCCCCGCAGCTGGGGTCGGCTCAGTCCCAGGGGTGCCATTAGGCTGTGACTCAGCTGTCAGGAGGTCTTGCAAAATTGGGGTGTGGGCCCTTGGTGCTCAAACCCGGGGGCTGCTGCTCGCAGGGCTCCCTGGACGTTTCTCTCAACAGCTGCACTGGCTAAAACCAGCGATCTGGTTTAGAACCTGGGTACTTACACAGGGCGTTTCTTAACCTGTTCAGCCCCGAGCTCAGGACCGTGGTCACAGCCCGGCAGCAGGAGCAGGAGCCTCCATCCTGCTGGCAGGTGGAACTTGATCCCACACACTGCCTGCTGCTCACTGTGCCTGGTTAGCCTTTGGCCTTATGCTGAAATGGTCTTTTCTTGCACAGGTGAGCCTGGGAGCAACGCTGGCCTTTGGCCTATCGGGCTGCTGTATCAGGATCCTTTTTTCCCCCCTCTGAGTGGACTGCCAAAAGGTGAAGGTGAGGCAGTGATCTGCATTTGCTGCTGGCAATGACAGCGTTTCAAGTATCACATGAGAAGGATGTGTCAGATGAAGAAGATAAAGCTGAGGACAGAGCACCCTGTGTGTGTGAGGAGGTACCTGGACACCGAGTGTGAAAGCAAGGAGATCGTGCTGGCAGGACTGTCCCCAGCCCCCGAGGCAGGCAGAGGAAGCCCCCCTCTACCTGTTTTTCCCCCTGGCCTCTCCTTGTGTCTCTGAGATGGAACAGCACCCTGATGAGACTGGCCAGCACGGTCCTCAGCTCTCTGGACGTGGCTGAGCAAGGGCTGACCACACAAGGAAATAGGACCAAAAAAACAAGGGATGAGTGGTTTACTCACTTGCTCAGCAGATACAAACCACCTTCATCGTGGTTCAGCAATTCCCAAAGGATGTTGCCTTCCACAGAAACACAGGCTGGCCCACCCCCCTTGTGTTTATTCAGGAATCTCTGTCCAATTGACAGCAGAGGCTCCTGGTGCTGTAGGAACTGCAGCAGTGGCACCTGAGCCCTTGCTCTGCATCCTTGCCTTCATACCCTGCTCAGAAACACCAGCACTGGTCTAAAGTCATCAGTGAAAAGCAGAGGATGGGCTGGCTCACCCACAGTCCTGCTGTGCCAGCAGCATTCTGGAAGAAAAAGAACTGCAGAGTCTCACAGTCCACACACACTGAAAGTGAAAAAAAAAAAAAAAAAACATCAACAACCCCAGACTGATTCTGCAATCAAACAGGTTTTTATTGAACTCTTTATATTGTACACTGTGAACATTTGTGCAATAAATACAGCTCAAAGTATAGATTTTTTTTTTCCCCAGCTCCTTAAAGCATAAGAATTCTTCCCTTTGTTGTAGTGGTGTGTTGATGCTGCACAGTAAGAAAGGCTGTTGGATGACAGGGACAAGGCAGCTCCTGACAGTGAGTGTTGTGTGAAATTCATAACAGCAAGCAGAAGTTTTCAGAAATGAGCTTGGTGGGCAGATGAGACTGGTCTGGCTGCTTAGAGGAACCTCTGCGAGCCAGAGATCTAGAGTCAGCCACAGCTTGTGCAAGAAGTGGGAAATAACACCGCACATAACTTCAACATGATCTTTAAGTCATTGCCTGATAACTGCTTGCAAAATATTGTACAGATTTTACTGGATAATTGTCTTTGGGTGAGAAAATAAAAGCATTATCGCAGAGCCAACATTAGACCAAAAGGACTGACATTCTCTTACAGTGACACACAAATACAGCATAAATTGTTGATACAAATATCCATGTGCAAAATAGTTCTCAGGTTTAGTCAGCACTTGCATAACCAGCACAGGTAAACAGAAGATGCAAGGCACAGACTTCAGAAAAAAAATTATTAATACAGTTCTGTTCAAGCTCTGGCCTTGAGCTTCAGGTCAAGGACTGAACAAACTGCAGTGTCTTTCTTGGTCCTCAGAGCATTTGAAACAAAGATGAGCCCAGTGTTCATACAGCCCTACCACGACCAACCAGGACCAGGCCAGCAATGAGGTTCTCAGACATGCAAAAATGCATCACACTTACACAAGCTTTTGCAGGGGAAATTCAGCCCTGCAGGATTCCCTGTCCCCTTCTCTTTGCTGCCTTCGTCCCTGCTATGGGAAAGAGCTCTGGAAAGTTTTTCAGCCATTCAGCAACTCCATTTATTTCCCCAATTCCTCTGGTCAGACAGGGTTGCTACTGTGAGTAAGAGGGGCTGGTGGCTGGCTTTTCCTCCCTGTGCCAGTGTAGAACAGGAGACAGCTCCTGCTCTTAACAAACCACAGGGGCAGAGGGGAGCAGGTGGATTTCTTTGGATCCTTTGGCTTATTTGGATTGCTCTAGACTCACATCCCCTCTGCCCTACCAGTTCTAACCACCCCTTATTTCTCAGTCCACAATACTGCCTGTTTTCATGACACTATTGAGATTGAGGTATGAACAGTAAACTAATAAAAACAGACTCAAACCTTCACACTTCTTTCTTGCCCACTGATTTCCTGGCCCACCTCCAGCTGCTTCTTGTGGGTGCTGTTCTGAAAAGCAACTTTGGGAACCTCCTTCTGCCTTCCTCACGCATCTTGCTGAATTCAGTTAGGTTGGGACATGGAGCTTCTACAGGGAAAAGGGGAAAACCCCAACTAAAGCACCTCCCTCCCTGCTGCCGTCAGCAAAGGTCAGATGGAAAATTTGGGGGGGGGGAGGCAGAGTGAGAATCAGATAAAAGTCAGTAAAGTAAACATTCAAAAGCAACAGTAGTGCCAAAATTTAGCAACAGTGACAGCTACCATTGCGGCAAACGCTTCGGGTTGTATCATCTAGTGAAGTATCTGAAAAACAGAGTTTGAAAGCCGAGTTACGAGGCTCTGCCAAGCAGCAACAGAGGTAGGACAGAGCTGCTCGGCCTAGAAAAGCTAACACAGGCTTGAAAAGAGTGGTTTTAACATGCAGGTAACACACACATCTGACATTCACAGCTCAGCTTCCCACAGTAAGGGGGAACAGTGAGAGAGAAATCACTGCACAGCAGAAGGGGGAGAAAATATAATAAAAATCAACCACACTTTAGAACCAATTATTACTGAACTTCTATATTTTTAGACTATTTATTAGTTTATTCCAGAGCCTTAAGAAAAATTGACTTGTATCTTAGAGAAGTATATGAATTTCATTGTTAAACTACAGCTAAGGGTAAGCATGGGTCAGGTTAATTCAGCAATAGCCCTATTCTGAAGGGGTAGCCAAAGTCTAAGGAAATAAATTGAACAAGGGCAGAATAAACTCAGCATTCAGCAGCATGGCATGAAGGAGTAATCAGAAATCAGTCTGAGGCTTTCTATGATTGCAGCAAAGTTCATAACATACACAAATTTAAGGTGAGGGAGAAGCAGCAAGAAAACAAACGAGGCTGTCACTGCTGGCAGGGGGACACGATCCCTGGTGTCACTTCTTTGGCTTTGAGCTCTGGCCTCCCTTTGGATCACCTCCCTCCTCCATTACCCAGGTAGAGAGAAAGCTACATACAGGAGGTAGCAGCCGTGATTTTTTTAATAATCCTTTTGTTTTCTCTTGGCTGATTCACAACTCCTTTCAGTTTTTTTTTTTGTTTTTTTTTTTCCTTTGGTTTCTTTTTTAACAAAGCCAATTTTACTATCCTAGCAGCACTAGCCCCATCCTAAACAATTGGGTTTTCTTTAACTTGAGTGGAGAGACAAGCCAAGAAAAATGTCACTCTTGACGATCAGGGCATCATCTTTATGAAGGTCAGGAACAGCTACTCTTCTCCCATCCCCAGAGGGTGACTCCACTCACCATTACCACTGAGAGCAGTGGCTGCACAGCTGGGACTGCTGGTGCCAAACTGTGCCAGGGCCCTGCACATCAGACATGACTGAAGAGCCCAGAGTCACAGAAACAGTGAGAAGTTCCTGTCCTACTGCACATCACTCTTGTGTACCCCTGACAATACCATTCCACACCACGTTTGGCATTTACTTCCAAGCTTGGCTACAGTGAATCCACCTGATAGCAGGGTTTTTCTCCTGGAATAAGGCACTGTAGTGTAGGAGCACCTGAGCAAAACTTGGAAGAGTTTACAGCTCTTGCCAGATTACCTTTGGCTCTTCTAAAACAGGCACCCAAAAAAAGCACTTTAAAATGAGGAGGTGGGGAGGCAAAGGGGAAGATAATAGATGAAACAGTGCGGTTTTAAAAAGCCTTCAGGCAAGAAGCTTGATCCTTTTAAATCGTTCCACTTGTGTTTACTTATCAGGGTGCCATTGGAAAAAAAAAATAGGTCTGTCTTGGCAGGGGAAGCTGGTGTGCCATGCAAAAAAAACCCACTAGTTTATGGTTGTCACTTCACTGACACGTTTCTACTCAAACCAGTTTTTCCTCAAAAGCAGATGGTTGAAGTGAGTCTCAACTCCAGCCCCCAGGATTTCCTCTTGTTTGACACTGATGCCACCGAAAGGGAAACCCTCCTTTCTTCTCCCCATTTCCCAGGTCCGATTTTTGTCTCCACAATCAGGCGACATCTACCTTAACACCTCTGCGTGGAGAAACTTATCTGAAACTTTCCAGAGCTCCCTGGAGCCTCTGCCTCATTAACTCTTTATTTCAACGCATTTTATGAATCCGAAACAATGTTTTCGAACGCCGGACTTTAGACGTGACAAGGAACACACCGGTTAATTTAGGCGATATTTTTTACAGACGTATACACATATATATATATATATGTAAAAAAATAAAATTGTCTTGGTAAGAAATATTGTGTAAGCTGATTAAGAAACAAGTCCCCGGAAGCTGTGCAACACAGCAAGACACACTGGCTGTAGAGCTGACACGGGGATAGCTAACTGCTTATTTTCAGAATTAAAAAAAAAAACAAAAACAAAAACAAAACACACAACAAAAAACACCCCCTAAGACCATTCTACTTAAGGCCATTCTACTCGAGAAATAAACCTGATTCTTTGCTGGAGATTGCAAGACGTTGTTGAAGAGGCTCCTCGTCGCCGCTCGGCCTCAGTTGGATTTCCTCTCCCGCTCTCGTGCGGTCACGAAGTTCAGCAGGTCGATGGCTGTGACGATGCCAAACACCATCTGCCTCTTGCTGGAGGCGCCATCAGTGTGATCTGCGTGGAAAACAAAGGGAATTCTGGCTCTAGCGGGCACAAACCCACATATTCCACTTGGTTTTAAGGGCACTGCTCGTAAAGGCAGGAGCCAAACCAGCCCAGCTCCACGTGGCAGGGGCTGGAGCTGGTGGTCACTGGGGACCCTGGAGCACAGAGGGGGGACCCAGATGGCATCCTGGCCAACAGTCACAGAGGAAGTGGAAAGGATTTTCTGTTCAGAAAGGCTCTCAACAAACCTGAAATGCTGTGGAAGGAAGGGTAAGGGTCCACCAGATTGATTCTTTTTGACTTGAAAATTCAAACCACACCCTCTGCTATAAAGTGTATTTTCCTCATACATTAGTTTCTGTGGCTCTACTTGAAACAGTTGCAAGTGACATTATCCCACTGGAACCAGGGGCCACTTGAATGGCCCAAAGGAATCACATTTTGAGGAGGAAATGTGACACTACCATCTCCATGCCTCGCTGTCAAATACAGAGTATAAAGATCACAATACAACATTTTACCATTTATATCCAAAAAACTCAGTAACCATTTAATCTTTGCTGCATTGAGAGCATAGATGGAGGTGATTTTTTCCATTGTGAGCATAAGCCTTTGACCTGGGAACCAAGTGGCCACATGACCTCTGGCCCCTTAACTATGGTCTAAGTTCCCTGTGTCCTGAAGTCTGGCTGTACTGAGATGTTTAGTCTACTTTATACTCAGTTTGTTCAGCCAGCTGGATTGCCCTGGGCTTTACATTTACTCAATCTCTGTTCCACTGCAAGCTTCCAGTGAGATTTTAGGTTTATAAATAGTTCAGCACAGAGCCAAGAGCACATCCTTATGGAGATTATCGGGAACAAACCCAAATTTGATGTCTGTTCTTCTCACAGTTATAATTGAGATAGCTATCAGATAAATTTATCTGGTGAGTCCTAATGCTGTTTTTAGTCTAGTTTCTCAGAGTTTGTAATTTTACAGGTTATCTGCTACAAGCAAGATGAAACAGGAAAAAATATTATTCACATGTAACGGTGATATACCCCCAGCTTTGAAGATTTATTTAGTCATTTCCAGTTCATAAAGAAGGCAGTTTTGAGAAGGATGAAGAAAAGCAGAGTTTGGAGGGTAAACATCAAGTGAAGTTAAGTTTAAATAAAATAAACAGGAAAAAGAAATATTTTTGGGACAGCGATGTCAGTGCCAACATCTAGATCTTACTAACTTCTGTGAAGTTGCAGCAATTTTTTTGCTTTAGAAAGACAAAAAATTGGAGAGTAGTTAACCTAGCAACCACAGAATTGAAGAGCTACTGTCTAACTAAACATGGAATGGTTTGGGTTGGAAGGGACGCTCAAAGACCATCTCATTCCAACCTCTTGCCATGGGCAGGGACACCTTTCACTACACTAGGTTGCTTTAAGTCCCATCCAGCCTGGCCTTGGAACACTTCCAGGGATGGAAGTTAGTGTTAGCAGCACATAGTTATGGAGAGAGAAGGAGAATTTGGCTTTTTCAGAGCTTGTTTACACATTTGCACTCAATTCTTGTCACCACTCATAGATTCCCTCTCATGAGGCACAAGTACATTGTACTTACACTGAATCTGCTCATGAACCACTAGAGCAAAGTGGTCTATTTCCAGGATATGAGAGAGTTTCCCCAAGTTGTCTTTCAGGTTAATCTGAGGAGAGAGATACACAGCTTAAATAAAACACTCCTTTCCTATGTTTAGTGGTTGATAAAACCCACACACTTCGTGCAAAACTAAAACCAGCACATCAGCATTTGCTCTCATCTGAAGTACTGTAAAACGCCAACAAATCAAGGCCAACTTAAAAGATCAGTTTTCTTTGTTTCTAATTTCCAAGAAAAGGAAGCACTCACTACATGAGGTTACTCACTCCGATTCCCTAAACGTAACGAATATACTGAATGTCTGAAAAAAATGTTAATAATAGAAGAAGGTCAAGTGTTCCACGTGTCTTAACAAAAAAAAAGTTACTATAAAACTCTTTATACTTGGTGATTTTCTTCCAGCAAGACTGGGAAGGAGTGAATGGATCAGGCTGCAAATCACTGTGGAAGTGAATACGATCTTCAAAGGCAGCAGGTGAAAAGCCCAAACAAGCCAAAACCAAAACCAAAGGTGAAAGATTGCTGAGCTAACACTGTACTCAGGTGCAAATCAAGGAACTGAGAGTTAAGAATTCATTTTTAGTGAAGTTCAACTTGGCTAAGACTGAACAAGAAAGCACCCTCTGTTGACCTTCTGAATCACTTCACTAATCACCTGCTGTGAACATATAAAAAACTGCATAAAACTGTTCTTAACATGATTTAACGTACTAAGCAGCAGCCACAGGTCCATTATCCAGGTAACTCTCCCCATGCAGCACCCAGCACCTGACATACTTTTATTCAAGGGGATTAAAGGAATTCACACCAAGGAACATCTTGTGCAGATTCAAAAAGCCTTTACTCTGCAGTGGGCTCAGCCTGTGAGTGAGGAATAAATGCCATGGCATAAACAGCTGGGCTGCACTGGAACACACAGCTCTGCCTCCATACTGGGAGCTTGAAGATATCAAAAAGATTCCCAGTGTTTAAGGGACCAGCACAGTGAGGCACCAATCCCTAAACTTGTGGGACAGGCAAGGAGCAGGGTGGGAAATCTGGATTTAGTGGCTCATGGAGTCACCTGTTGGTCACCACTACTGACAAACAGTTTTGTGCAAATGTACGTGCAAAGCCCAGCTTTTGAACCCGGGTTCAAAGCTCTCTGAAGGGGTAGAGCCCCTTGCCATCAGACTGTGTATCAGGGATTGGGCAGGCTCTAGGAAAACAGCCTAAGCAGCCCCTTGGCAGCACGGGGACAACTATGAAGACATAAATATCTTTTGAGAGGCTTAATGGATATTTAACAGAACCCCCATGGAGTTTTCATTTGTCTCACTAGTGCTCATTCAAGCTCCCTAAACATTTTACCATGAGCCTTCCCACATTTAGGCATTTTTAAAAAATTTACTAAGTCTTTAAGGGAATGAGTCTACACACATGGTACTATACTACACCATGGAACTAACACCTGACTTCTCAAGGATGCTCCTCCTCTCCACTGGCAAACAGCGCTTGTTTGGGTTGGCAAATTATCCTGTGACTGGTGCTTCAAATTCCCAGAGCACTATCCTACCAGGGACTTTGAAAAAGCTGTGTCCATTCCTTTTCCACTCTAAGAGACTGCCACAAAATAACTGTGGTGATCCTATCAAAGAAAGCTTCCCACATTATGGAATCACAGAACGGCTGGGGTTGGAAGGGGCTTTAAAGATCATCCAGTTCCAACCTCCCTGCCACGGGCAGGGACACCTTCCACTAGACCAGGTCCATCCAGACAAGTTCTTGATCAACTTCAGAGCTGGGGAGTTCACAACCTCTCTGGGCAATCTAAAAAAGCCAGAAGATACAAAAAGATGCCTCTGCCTTGGCAGCCACAGGCTAAGCCTACCTCTTATTCATGCATGCCGTGGTATCCTATGTGGGATATGAGAAGTCATTTCAGTGGCACAGGTGATCTGTTTTCCCAATTTCACCACTAAACAAGCCAAATAACCTTGACTAAAGCGGTAAGAAAAGCAAAACCCACAATACTTCTGAGGTTATGTGCATTTAGCCACGTTTCTCCATCAAACCATCAACTCGAATAGGAAACAACCAAGGAATGATGCCTCCAGTTAGCATGTTATCAACACCACTGCTTGCGTCACTCCCCTTCCAACCTCCACCAGAAGGAAATACCAGAACTGAAGGGAAAAGAAATGGTTAAGCTGCTCTTCGCTGAAGAAGCACAAGAAACTTCAAGCTGCCCATGGCAAAAGCCACAACCTCAGAAGTGCAGAGAACTGGCCGGTGCAGCCGACACCAGCGTAGCCACAGGAACAGTCGCACACCACCAGCCCCAGAAACTCCCAAGGTGTCCAAGGGAGGGAGAACACGAGCTAAGCAGTTGTGTGTTACGCACCACATATCCACATGATGCTTGATTATCAGCCTGGGAAGGAAAAAATAAATTTACATGTGTCCACAAAGAACCGGCATCCTTGCTCAGCCAAAGGGACCTGGTGGCTCACGGACTGAGCAAGAAGCATTACACACACTTGCAGGGCACAGCACTTCATCTACTTTGAGACAGTCTTCAAACTTAAAACCTGGCGAAAACTAAGTCAAGGACCCCATGGTAAAATCAAAATTCTTTCCTGCAAGAGAACCAAAGCAACAGCAACACTCCTTATATATTTTAGAAGAGTGCCCATACAGCTGGGAAGTTGTGTTACCATAGAATCACAGAATGGTTTGGGTTGGAAGGAACCTAAAAGATAACTAGCTCCAACTCCCCTGCCATGGGCAGGGACCTCTTCCACTATCCCAGGTTGCTCAGAGCCCCATCCAGCCTGGCCTTGGAACAATTCCAGGGATGGGGCAGCCACAGCTTCTCTGGGCAACCTGTGCCAGGGCCTCACCACCCAGCACACTGGAAGGACTAACACCAAAATTCACATATTTGACAATATCAGCTTTCAGCAGCCAACCCCTTCCACAAACCCCTGCTTCAGCAAGGCATCTGATACGTAAGGCAAAACATTGCTTGTTTTCAGCTGATGCAGAAATTATTTAGCTGAGCTGTTTCAACATCTCCCTGTCTCTTTCCCTGGACAGTTACACATTGCCCACGTTTGTGCTGGGGTTTTTGGGGCAGGAGGAAAGGACAGACACACTGGAAGAAAGCCTGATGAAGTAATGGAAGAGCACAATACAGCCACAACACAAACCTAGGAGCTACTGAGTGATCTGGGATAGGGTTTAGAGTATGCCTGTGCTCAATAACAGCTGCTCTGTATGGTCCCAGGTAAACCTTACCCAAACATGATGCCACTGAAGTGTTGGAACACCTACTCCAGTACTTCAGACCAGAGAACCAGGAGCTGTACAATATACCTGCCTACCTGTTGAAATTGCTTGTAGATTACTTTTCTGACTTCATCAGAAGGCTGAACTTTTCCAGCAAGCAGTGAGGAAAGCATGTTACCCAGGGTAACCATGCCCAAAATCACCCTGGGGAGGGAGAGAGAGAGAGAAGACAGGGCTAAGCAGCACAAAAGCCTCAGGTGTTCCTGTAGATAAAAGCATCCACTCTCAGCCAACATGGAGAAGTCAGTTCAGCTACATCATGGTAATAATGCAACATTATTGATGGTATACTTGTATTCTGTGTCTCTGCAGGAGACAGAGTCCAGTTCTCAGAAGTTCTGGAGACGCACACACAAGTCAGCAGGTGCTGTGGGTGCCCTTCTGAGCATCTTCGTATCTCTGCTCCTTGTACCTGCAGAGCTTCCTGCAGTCTCAGGGAGCTTCTGAAAAGCACCAACTACTTCATTGTTTTACACCCTCCTCTGGCCTTTTGAAAGGTGTGACAGCCCATGGTCACCCCAGTTTTTCTCATTCCCCTTCTCCCTACAAGTATCTACAACAATTCATTCCTTGATTTAGCACTGCAGTTGGACAGTAATTGAGCAACTCTTATTCAGCCTGTCTGCAGGAGACCTGCAGGGTAATAAGGCAAATTCCAGCTTGCTGGGGACACCCTGAGTTATAGGGGCAACTACAGCATTGCACTATTACACGGTGTTCTGAAGAAACTGGGTGAACACTGTGGTGGAACTGGGTAAGTTTGGGTTTGGTTGTTTCAAACAAGAATTTCTTTGCTTTCTCAAGTTAAACAGTTATTATTAAAACAAACAAACAAACAAAACAAAACAACTACATTATCCTGCAGAGACACACTGAGTAAGAATATCATAATAATCATTAGAGTCATGTGAAGAGCAGGACACTCCTGGCGTGACAACATCCCAAGTCCAGCATTGGTGTGTTTAAGAAACATTTCTGAACTGTGTTACTATAACTGAAAAAAAAAACCCCATGAGTGAGAGGATATTATGCTTCCAGCAAGCACTTCAAAGACACCCCTCAGGACCTGGTGAAGGAAGTGATACATATGGATGAATAGTGATATATGTGGACATACCCAGATTCATCAACAACTGGTACCTGGTCGAATCCCTTCTCCCGGAGAATTTCGACAGTCTTTGCACAGGTAACAGTTGGAAGCACAGTCAGGGGAGCAGAGAGGCTCAGTTCCTGAACACTGATGTTCCACCACCTGGGGACAAAGTTAAAAAACAAACCCATGCAAGATTTATGGAGAGAACAGAACCAGCTCTTCATGCACAGTCATTTCAGCACCACAGAAATAACAAAAGGCTGCAAGGAAGAGTCAGGATTCAGCCAGAGTCAATAAAACTTCAAGGTTCTGAAGTTTTATCCCCAATATCAGAAAGTCACTGAAGTGTGAGAAGGCTTGAAGACCGAAAGTCTTTTCCTCATTTCATCGACTTTCTAGGATTAGACAGTTAGTGGAGAGAACTAATCCCCCCAATTTCAATATTTGTATCTTACACAGAAAATTTTGTGCTCCTACTGAAAGACCTACCCATATTTACAGTCATTATAGGCAACAATTTAGGGAAGATTACCTTCTGCCTCTGCAGATTTGCAGTTGTTTGTGCTCAAGAACTCTGATCTCAGAAGGGTTCTTTGGATGCTACTTTTTTTTCTATTATTCCATACAAAAAGAAGTGATTAAGTACCAAATTTTCATCTGCTGCCATGCAACTCAAAGCAAAATGTCGACTAGTTTAGGCAGATTTGATTAATAGTTGCAATTATACATCAAGACAATGAAAGATTAGCTAAATCAAAGGAGTAGTGTAAATTCAAATTAGCTTTGTATTAGCAACTGCCATAAACTCGATTGAACAGACTCATGAAAACCCAAATGGATCTCATGGATTTACCAGGGTTTGTTGCCAAGGTCCTCTTCTTTCATGAACCCTTTCTGAATCATCCATTTGTCACTCAAAAACTTGGACCTGGAAAATCATTAGGAAGTGAAAGGCTCATTAGCAGGTTGAACATCTGACAGCAAACACAGGCAACTGTTTACAGCTCACTACCACTAACAACTAAAGGGTAGCTGAAAACAGACCATCATTTGCTATCCAAGCTTACCAGGAAAATATTCATAGGAAGAAAAAGGAATCCCAGAGGAAACAAAGTTCCAACTACATCCGTCCCTTGCAATACAACAGAGACACAGCCTGGAATGGAGATGTGCCAGGCAAGGTCTGTCTGCAGCTTCTAGTTGTTTCTAGTTTCCAGTATTGAGTTGGATGCAACAAAAGTCAGGAAACACAGCTAAAGATACCACGGTTTGGGATATGCTTCAGTGCAGTAGGAGAAAAACTTCTCAGCACAGCTCAAAACCCTCACACTTCCACCTGTGAACTCACCCTGACAGTGGCTGCTGCTGCAGGAGTGCTGGGCTCTGCTGTGGGCACAGGGATGGGATAATACCAGTGGTTCCCCCATAAATAACAGTGAAACCAAGTCCTTTGCTGTGAAAGATGCTAACCAGTGGTGATTGCCTACTGAAATGAGAGCTCAGCTTTCAAAGGGAAAATGTCTACTCCACGTCAGGCCCTTTTTAGATACCCTGGAACTTGTGCCCCAAACACGCTCCTGGGTGATATGTGACACAGGTATTCAAATTGCCACTGCTGTAAGGAGGTCTGAGGGACTCCCTCACCCCTTTCCCAGGGAGAAAACCAGCAGGCTCTTACATGTAGTTCCTGATAGAGTCAGGGAAGATGACAACACAGCGCTGACCCTCCTTCAGCTCCTTGGCTGCCTTCACAGCCACAGACATGGCACTGCCTGAGCTGCCACCTGCCAGAACACAGAGCAGAGGCAGAACTGTCACGCCACAAGTGAAATGAGAACGATCAAAAGAGGGGAGGAGAGAGAGTGAGACAAGCCCAGAGCGAGGAAGACAAGTTATAAGGTGGAAGGAGGTCTCTCTGATCTGCTCAAGGCTTCAGCCTCCCACAGAGAAAGCAAAAGGATCCACATCTGCTCTTACCACACAGCAGCCCCTCCTCTCGGATCAGCATACGAGCTAAAGCAAAGGACTCCTCATCATTGCTCTTGTACCACTGGTCCACCATCTGGGAAGGGGCAGGAAGACAGAAACAGAGGGCTATTTAAGTGGGGAGGGACAGGGGAATTACACAACCAGTGTGAATTCAAACCCATGCTCTTTGAAGTGACAGCTGCCCTAACGAGCCATGTGCCTGGGTTTCCATCCTCCAAATACCAAGTGTTTTGGGTTTTTTTTTTGCCAAGGTAAGATGATCACACCAGTACAGCAGGCTCCTTATTGGAACCTCACTGTGGGAACAGGCTGAGAGCTGTTCTGCCCCTCCTGGAGGTCTTCCCAGGGACACAGGCTCTGCTCAGGATGCTCTCTTTGTCCAGGAGGGGTTGGGATGCTTTACTGGAGACTTTTTTTTTATTGGTTAGTTGGTGGTTTTGTGTTTGTTGTTGTTTTTATTGTGTGTAGTTTTGTGGTATGTTTTGTTTGGGTTTTCTTTTAAATGTAAAAATAAATTTGTTCTAGGAAAACATTATCTACTCACAGCCTTTTGACCTGGCACAGTAAAACAAACGTTCTGAGGACTGTCGATGGAAAGAACAGGAACAGGAATAGTTCTGTCTCCTCGTCCTCTCATTTCACCTCAAAGGAATATTTCCCCAAAGTTTTTCCCTCTGCCTTTCACCTCATTCCTGAATCCCACCAGAGGGCAGAGGGCAGCAGAACCAAGCAGCGCGACTTACAGATCTATCCAACACCGTGGGGACAAAATCGTATCCAATTCCTTCCACTTCATACGTTGTCTTGTCAGTCTTGTTCAGCGATTCTGGTGCAGCGAGGATGGAGCCCTCAGGATCCACACCTATGATCTGGAGAAGCAGTTTCCCCTCAGGCCACTGTGACTCGCTGCTTTTGAGGACACAGCACGCGTGAGCACCGGCCTTGTCGCAGCTGCTGGTGTCACATTCAGCCAAGCCAACGGCAACAAATGGTCTCCTACTCATTTTTTCTGGCAGGATTCACCTCCCCTGAGAGCAAAACGCTTTGCTGCTTCTGGCAACCCATCCCATCTCTTCGGGATGTGCGGACACCGAGGGGGCACCCCTTGTTCTGTGTGGGGGTTTTGCTTGTTTTGAACAGAACACACAGGGTTTCCCCAAGACAAGACTGTCCATTCACTGGTCAGCCATCATTACAGCCAAGATATCTTGGGCCAAGTCTAAGCAGATCAGTTTTATTTTCTTTACCAAGCCCTGCCTATGTAGGAAAATGTTCACGATGGAAGCGGGATACCAAGTGAGGAAATCTGTGCAGAGACAGTTACACCAGAGAAAACCTCAGCAGCTCCAAAAAAGTTAGTGATGACACAGTCAGACAGGAAACACGAGGCTGCAGAGTGTCACACCAGAGAAGGTGGTGTGCCAAGTGGAGCAGTGTGAGGTTGACCCCACTGGAGAGAAATGCATTAGGTTTGTCACTTACTTTGCAGCCTGGACACTTCTCCTTTAGCTTTCTGGAGATGCCAGTGATAGTCCCTCCCGTGCCAGCCGTAGCCACCAGCATGTCCACCTTTCCTGTTTGAGGGTGAGGGACAGAAGGCAGTTGTGAAACCTCCAACAGAATGACGGATTAAAACCCCACTTACACCTAAGTATGGAATTTCTTCGATAAAAGCACAGCAAGTGGCTGAAAAGGGCAAGATAAGGCCCTTTGCTTCCCAAAAGCTGTTATGAGACCTGCCTTGAGCCCACATTGCTCAATCCTCATTTACACCAACAAGGGTTTTGAAATGTCCATCCAGGGGCCTGGCAAGGCACCAACTTGTGGCACTTTGGACACAGCTGGAGGTGGCCCATGAAGCTGACAGCTGCAGTTTTCCTGTTACTGTATTTGTTGATACATTAATTCTCTAACTTAAACCAAGCAGCCCATTATATTAGTTAATTAGCTGAATGAGTGCCAAGAGCATGGGTTAGGCATCCACGGAGAGAACTTTTAACACGACTACTCTCCCATTTTCCAGTGAAAAAGACTGTTTGGTCACTTAGCACTGAGAGTGAATGTGGATGTATTTTATCCCTCTGTCACCACCTACAGTTTCCCTGGTGCATCATCCACATGACAGCTTTGTTAATTAAAAAATAAAATTAAATTTTTAAAAGGTCACCAATTCACACACAAAAACAAATGCTTACCAGCCAAGAGAATAACACCCCACCAAGCAGGGGCAACTGAACAGTGCCTGGCCTGTGAGGGAAAGTAAATACAAACAAGTAGTCTAAAGCTGGAACTCATCTGGACTCCCAATTTGTGGGATGGCAGCTTGTTAAAATGGACTCACTTTAACTCAAAGTTTGTCACAGAAAGACAAGCCAAATCCTCTGAATAGTCAGAGTTTTAGGAGGGAGGAGAACTCTTCACATGGTCCTCACCTTAATGAGAAGGAATTTAATAGCTGATTTTCTTATCAGAGGGTCCCATCAGAAACTGTGCTGTGTAACATTCTTATAAGGCAGGTCAGTAGCCTCCTACATGACTTAATTCTGCCACCTATGGAAATGCCCAAGGGGTAGACTGCAGCATCCCATGGAATATCTCCCACAGCTCTCAAACCAGTGAGCCCAGCTGAAGCTCTGTGCTGCCACAGCTCAGTCCCCGCTGGTTCTCCAGCTCAGCTGCCCAGCACCAACGTGGAAGAGATCCCTACGGAGTGAGAGGGTTCTGCTGCTGACAGCTGCTACACAGGGCAGCTTGTGAGAACTCCTAAGTGAAGAATCTTCCAATGTATTGGAGTATTTGGTCTGGGAATGTCAAAATGCCTATTTCTGTACTTGGGATCAGAGAAAAACAAACCCTATTTCATAGCAGTCTACCTATGCCTTTTTTTTTTTTTTTTTTAATAAGGTATCTTAAGCTATCACTGCTTCCTCCACCTGATCACTAGCAGAGGAGTATAAAACCCAAAGAATTCTTCTTTAATGGAAAAAAAACTACTGTGACTACTGAAATAAGGTAATTCTCCAATGACACGCAGCATGTGTACGGGATTTGCTCTGTCAAAATCCATGGATTTCTCATCCAGCTCAGGTCTCATCCTCCAAGAAAATAACAATAGAGCTACCAGGGACTGGCTGGGGAGGGGATTAGCAGTGGAGCAGACATACCATCACACTGCTGCAGGATCTCCTCAGCTGTGGTGTCGTAGTGTGTCAGGGGATTGCTGGGATTCCGGTACTATGTGGGAAGACAGAACAGACGTGAAGACAAAAATTCACACTGTGAGGCATTTCAAGAACACATCAAACAATCTCCAAGCCCCACAACAGCTACATACACTCTCTGCAGACCGTTTCCTTATCTGTGTCCTGGACCTAGGCCCGAGGGGAGATACAACCTTCCCAAGTGACCTAATTTAAGAGTAGTTCTAGGGTGCCAGCACCCTCCAGTGCCAAGATCAGTCTTGTTTGTGGGACAGCTACTTTGAGCAACGTGACTCCTGTGTCCATTCTTCCACACAGGCCTGCCAACTTAGTGGAAAAAGACATCCTCAAGCGTTGCAGTTTTGGCAAGCACTGGCTCGTTGCTGCTCTCTAGTGACCACAGAAACTTGCTGGCCTGGAGCACAGCTCAGCTACAGCTCCAGATCTGGGGCATCTTCTCCTCCAGAGACACACGTAGGGTGTTGAACAGTCAACCAAGCACATTAAGGAACAAAGCTGCCACTCCTCCTCCACACTGCCCTGCACCTCCTGCACCCTGGCTCTCACCTGGTCTAGGATGTGCGCGTTGGGGATCTCGTTCTTCAGCCTCCACGCCACTCCCACGTGGGACTCAGGGGAATCAAATCTGGCAGTAGTTGGGGTCCTCACAATCTCAGCGCCCAGAGCTCTCAGGATATCCACCTGCAGCAAAGAAAGGCGGTCACAAAGCCCCAGAACGCTCTCCTGGCGCAGAGACCTCACTGGATGAAAGGCAAAAGAAAACATCCTCCCTTTCACCTGGTCAGCAATAGCCTTCTCAGTGGTTCTCCTATAGCCTGAGCCACTGAGCCATGGATTAAAACCAAATGGCATTAAGGATTTGAACTAGGCTTTACTGGGGAGCCAGGTGTCAAATTCCTCTTTCTAGTCCAGGCCTTCATGCCTGTAGGAGCTATTACTACCACACTGAGAAGCCTCATTCAGCCAAAACACCCTCTTCTCTCACACCAGTCACAAATTCTGCACTCCAGCAGTGCTGTAGCCCAGTATTTTGTGTTTTAGTGTAAATTACATGTATTTATCCCCTCCTCTGGACACAGGCAGCAATGGAGATCCTCCAGGGCCCTGTGCACCTTTCGACTGTTACAAAAGCAAGAAAGATTATGATACCGAGCTAAGGCAAAGCCTGTCTTCAGAGGGGAGGGAGAGCTTTGGTGCCACGTGGCAGTGGCCATGTGGTACCTCTCCCTCCAGAGCAGGTAAGAGCAAGCCATGGTTACAGGTAAGTGGAGGTAAGTGGAAGGCAAGGCAGCTTTTCCTTCCCCTTTGCTGTTGTGGTACTCAGGTACTTGCCAGTACCACCCAGTGAGGAGCTCAACGAGCTCCCTCACACTCAGCCCTGAGCCCTGAATATTTGCAGAGTACTCAAAGCTTCAGCACTGCCTCCCTTCATCCTCTGCTCAGCGTGGGACAGCTCACCCAGGGACAGGCAGTCACTTCCATGTGCGTGGCAAATCCCAAGTTCCCTTGACATTTGTATTTAAAACAGCCATGACAGCTTTCAAAGTGACAGTGCCGTGGGGATGGGTCTTAAAATACATTTTCTATCCATGGCTAGCCAGCCTGGATTTCTGTGGGCGAACAACAAGCCCCTCAGCAGAGTTCTGCCCAGCCAACAACCTGGAGACCAAGAGCCTCTATCTTTGCTGTTAAAGCCACAGCACACATCTGCACCAGGAATTCTGCGAGTGCAAACACGTTTGGGTTTTTTTTTTTTTAATTCTTGAAAAGAATTAAAGCAGGTCTGACCTTCTCCATGCTCATTTTCTCTGGCATCACGATGATACAGCGGTAACCCTTCACTGCCGCAGCCAGGGCCAGCCCAATTCCTGGAAGCAAGCAAAGACACGCAGAGCACACAGTGAGGAGCAGCAGAGAACAAAAGCCACAATGCCAGCTTTGGCACGCCCCTGGATTTAATCAGATTTTCACCAGAGGCTCGAACACGGTGCCTCTGGAGGGGTGGCAAACGGAATGTTTCAGTCTGTTGGGCAGAACTGGATTTACAGATGCTGCTCGTTCTTTGAGGTTCACAGCCAAGAGAAAGCTTAGCCAAGGGTGGGGAAGCTTGGCATGTGCAAACTGCTGGCTTTGCCACATGCACATCACTTTCCTCCTGTCTCACCCACTCCCATTTTTACAGAAGGAATTTGGGAAAGAAATGTGCTTGAAGCTACAGAAGATCAGAGTGATCCCTCTGATGCTGCCAGAAGATCATCAGAGCCTTTTGCATTAAACACATAGTTTGCAATGCACTGAAACTAAGTCCTTTCTGGAAAGAAATTATTTAGATGCTGTTTGTGATTGAGGTTCTAATGCACTGGGTAAACTTGCTACCACAGTGAAGTACCCTGACTGTTAGAGACAGACACCTCATTCTTACTTCAAAAATCTGTACCTCCAGCCTGATTTCTGCCTTCCAGCTGGTCATTTGCTGTACCTCAGAGAAGAGAAGCTCACACCTGTTATTAGATCACCTCTCTGCAGGATAAGCTAAACAGATCAAGTTGGTTGATCATTGTCTGAGGTCAGACTGCAAGGCAGCTCCCCCCCTGTGCTGGGTGCAGGACCAACACATGCAACTTCTCCTACACAGAGACCTGCTTGTTCAAAGCTGGCTCTGTTTCTACATGCTGCTGGATCACAGAGAGGTAAAAAAAAATAACAAACCCTAATAATAAAACTGTTACTGCAAGAGAAGCTTAACTCACACCTCAAGTAATTCAAGCAGTGTTTAATATATTTGGGGGGGGAAAAAGCAACTTTTCTCAGTGTATTATAGATAAATATGGATGCCCAAATACAACAATAAGACAGCAAAGGCCTCCCTAAGGCCACAGACTGAAGAGGAGCCATCCAGCATTCTTCCTTACAGTCTGTGATGAAGAAAGAATTTTGAGACCTGAACTCTAATACTTTGTACTTTCTGCTACTGAACTGGAAATGCAGCAAACATCAAAACAGGACTTTGGCTGAGGGAGAAGCGGGATGCAGAGAGGACAAAAATATAACACATTAGCTCTTACTTTCAGCATACTCAGTAGCCCTGAGCAGTAGCCTAGAGCAAATTATAATTGCCTCAGGTTACTGCCTGCCCTGGTCTTTGCTTTTATATGAAAAAGAGAGGCAGCATTCTGCAGCAATTGTCCTGTATCTCCTTCAGTTCTGCCTTTTCGGATTCTGTGGCAAGGAGAATCATTTATCAGGTACTGACCCAGAAAGCAGGATGTCACAGTGTGACCTTAGATACTGGAGGAACTCAATGCATATGGATATTTTCCACTGTGTATTGTTGTTCAGGCAAGGGGTACAGCCACATTCACAAAGGTTTCAGTTCACTGCACACCCCAAAAAACGGCTGCTGAGGCGACAGCAACTGATGTGACCTCCCAGTTTTTTGTGGAAGGCAGATCAGCTCATCACCCCAGTCCCTTCAGTAACAAAGGGTTGAACTGGACCAAAAGAACAAGAGAAGGTCTGCTTGGCCTAATATCATGCAACAGTGGATGGAAGCCCAGGAAGGAGTTTAAGAGCAGGACAAAGCACCTCTCCAGAGCACATCAAGCAGGAGAGTAGCTTGCAGCTCAGCTCAGGAACCTGCTCAGAGGAGGCAGTATATATTTATATTTTATAATATTTACATATTATAAATTTATATTTATATATTTAACTATTTATAGTTTATATTTAAGGGGGAACACTCCAGGTATGTTTTCTTCCCAGGAGCAGAGCAGCTTGAGAGAACTACAACAGCTTTGACACAGGAGCCAAGTTGGATCATCAGATGCTCTGCCCTGGCCCCTGCCTGGTGGGACTGTTCCTTCCTCCAGCCCTCCAAGGAGGAGATGCTGTGGATCTCCTGTGATTTTCAACAGTGGAACCTGCTGAAAAATCCAGGTGTGCAAGGGCTTTGTCAGCAGGCAGTGCTATGGGGGTGCAGCTCATCCCCCACCTCAACTGCACCAACATGGGAAGGGCTGTTTCTCAAACCAGGCCCACCTCACCTGACAGTGGGACCACGGGACTTCCCAAACAGAAAGAATGGGAATTCTTACCAGTCTTCTGGGTGCTTTCCCACCCTTAATTTTAGTCAGACTTGAATTCCTGAATAGGGCCTAAAGACTCTAGTGAACCCGGCCTAAGACTTCTTTTCTTTGAAAGCAAAGAGGCTCTGCAAATTTAGCAGAGCTCCTTCCCAGCTGTTCTGGTCAGCACAGGGCCCTGTAGAAATGTTCCCTGTGCACGATGGAGGAGGCAGTGCAGGCAGGAAGAGATCCCTTCTTCCTTGCACAGGCAGCCTCCATGCTCCAATCTCAAACCCGCCTCTCCCAGGAAAACCCCCACAGCATTTCCCCCCACGCACTTTGCTAAGGTCTCTCCTAGCCCCACCTGTGTTTCCAGAGGTTGGCTCTATGATCGTGTCCCCAGGCTTCAGGATCCCAGCCTTCTCAGCGTCCTCCACCATCCTGAGGCTGATGCGGTCCTTGACGCTGCCCCCGGCATTGAAGTACTCGCACTTGACCACTGGAATCACAGAAACCAAGCACAGCTCTTGAACACAGGCACTTGGCAGCAGGCTGCTGATTCCTAACACCTCTGGAAGAGCAGCTCTGTTAACATGTCTGCCCAGTTCACCTCCCTGCTTCCCAACACCAGAGATGGGGATTCAGCTCACGGCGTCTCCTCTGTTACAGGTCACAACAACAAGCAAGTTGTCACTGGAATCACAGAATGGTTTGGGTTGGAAGGGAGCTTAAAAATCACCTCATTCCAACCCCCCTGCCATGGGCAGGGACACCTTCCACTGGACCAGGTTGCTCAGAGCCCCATCCAGCCTGGCCTTGAAACCTGGTCTTGCCTCTTCCCTGAGAAGTCCCCAAGCCAAAGAGCTTCTGATCAAACTGGAAGTTTCTCCCCTTGTTCAGCTGACACTTTCACTCCAGCCACCCAGTCCCTTCAGTGGTGTTGAACACCACCTTTCTCTGATCAGAACCTCCAGGTATCTCCAGTATGGTTGGGTTTAAAACCCCAACCAAAGAAAAAAAACCCTTCACTGACAGTTTCATCTCTTCAATCATTTCCAGTGATCTTTGGTGCTAACTGCTGATCTGCATTTTACACACACTGATGAATACTCTGAATATGAGAAGCAGTCACAAACTTCATATAACTTTTTAAAATTTAAATGTTCTATGAGAAACATTTTACTTTTTCTGAAGAAATGGAAAAGCTGGAGGAAATCTTCTCATGAAGCACAAACCGAAAGATGTTTTAAATGACCAATTCCAAAAAAACTGATTATCTACCAAAAGAGGAATTTTTCCTCACCATTTCCTGCCAGGTGCCTGCACTCCTGTTCCCAGGGTTACATGACACTATTAACCAGAACTACCTCAAGTTTCTGAAAAGGCGTTTGTTAGTTTGATTTTCTGTGTGCAGCAGTACTCACAGAGTTCACACTTGAGTCCAAAGTGCTTCCCAATCTTGTTGATCCTCACCAAAGGTGTATTGCCAACTTTAGTCAGGATGTTTGGCAGGATCTTCGGAGGCTCTGGCCTGGTACAAATATAAACAAAGCCAGTGTATTCCCAGAAAGAGCCACAGACAGGTCACACAACAACCACAAAGCATTTCTGCTGCTTTTAATTTCAACCACCTTTCCCCCTCCCATTTATCAGGGTGGTTACTTTAGATATTTTACTTTAAAAGAACAACCATGGGACACAAACTCACAAACATCAAGTCCTTGATCCAAAACAAGGATTAATCAGACATTAAGCCAAGCACTGAGGCAAGAATGAAGACCTCTGCACTTTCTCCTGGTACTGAGTAGCTCAGCACTCCTCAGTCAGCTATTTTATAACCAAAAGGCACTAACAGTGCAAACTTTCATCTAGTCAGGGAACTGTTTGCCAGGTCACTTAAAATAAATTTATTCCAGTCCGTGTGCTTTCACATCTGTGGTGCAAGGCCCCCTGTATGCTCAGTCTGGGTTCTGGATTAGTGCTGAAAAGCAGCAAATGAAATACTCACAGAGAGGCATGATGATGTGGGGAGGCAGAGAGGGGTTTCCCAAGCTTCCATGTGCATTTGCTGGGTGTATCAGGGCGGATCCACTGCCTTTCCTTCTCGTTATTCTTGCAGTTCTCATTCTCCACCCCATCAGGGAGAGAATACTTGCCAGCTGCATGAGGGCACGAGTTTGTCTCTGGCTTCTTCTGGGGAGGAAGAGTAGGGATTCCGTTCTGGGGGGAGGGAGAAGGAAAACAAAAACAGAAAAAAGAAAAAAAAAGAAAAGATGAAGGGTTGAGGAGAGTGAGTGATCTGTCTGCCCTGCTGTAAGAGGGTCAGAGCATCTTCGAGATTATCAAAGCCACTCAAGTTCCACACCATGGGAAATCCCCCATTCACATCACTGCCCCCTGCTAAAAGAGCTAAAAATCACGTTGCTAATCAGGAGCCTTTATTGTTGTCTCTCTTGTCCCACCAACTTCTCCATCCCAGTCTGGTGTTCCAGCACACAGTTTTCCTGAGGGAAGCCTGAGCAGCAGCTACCCTGGTGACAGTGTTCAGGAGACAAGTCTCGAAAAAGGCCAAGGGCAAAAAGCAGTTTTAACACCCAAGAACAGGTTCTGCCACTACAAGAGATCCTGAGACTGCATCTGAGACCCAGGTGTTGGGGAAGAAAGCACAGCATGTCTCAGTTAGACTAATCCCATCCTCCAGTGTCTCAGTCTTGTTTTCCCCTTATGGGAAAAAGGTCACAACAAACAGGTATTGTGATGGCCAGCTGATGTTTCCATAGTACTGCGAGGACGGGAAGTTGTTTCAGCATCATTTTGACTTGCCAAATCCTTATCACCAGCACGAGAATGATTTAAACACACCGAGGCATGTGCTCGCTGTAACAAGCCTCCATAAATATCAAGAAAACAGGACTGGTCTCATGGGAGATACCCCGTTCCAAGCAGAGTGGAACACAGTAAGACTGACTGGTGGCTCATTAGAAAGTTGTGCCAAAAGACTCTGTGTTCCTACTTATGGTCATGGAGAACTCTGCCAGAAAGGCCACTGGTTTCAACAGCACCTCCCACCACAGCATTTCAGCAAGGCAACCTAAAAATCCCTCTGGAAACAGGTGGGGCTCTCCCAAATTCTGGTGACAGGAAGGTGGGATAACAGTACTCCCCAAAGGCCAGCGAGTACCTTAAGCACAGGAACAGGCTTGTCTGATACAAACTTCTCCATGGTTTTTGGTGAAGGAGATGGCCCAGGAGACTGGAATTCCTTCAGGAAAGAGTCACCAGACTGGAATCCTCTTCAACACTGCAGAACGCGTAAGTTAAGAAAAAAAAACTATCATGAAAGAGTCTCTCACGGGGGCAAAACACAGACAGCTTTTTCATGGAGAGAAAGAGAAGCTGCAAAACAAAGTGAAGATGACTTGTATAAATAGGATTTAAAAAAAAATAAATCATGCAGCAGAGGTATTGGGCAATATTGATGGAGGGTCCCTTGACCCTGCCCTTCCTGCATTACATAAACTTTCCTGGCTCTGAAAGGGAAGAAAGTAGAAAGCATCTTTTATCCGACTGTCTGCAATTCCATAAGCTTGAAAGCCACACAAAGTAACAGGAAATACTTCAGTTCGCAGGATTTGGGCTTCTAGGGACGCACAGGGGGAAAGGGCTTCACAGTGCCATCCCCAAAAGACCCTGTGCACTGCTTAGGAAAGAGCTTTATCCAGGAGCATCTGCAGAGGCCTCTGAACCCCTGAGGGGACCAAAATCTCGCAAGTTCCTACCCAAAATGAATCAGCGTTGCATGCACAGCTGTAGTGATGCTGGATATCACACAGACACAGCAAACACTTCAGCCTTCTAGGAGGCTTTTTGTTTCAGAAATTAGCAAATATGAAATGGAAACAGTAAGTTCATTTTTCCTGCGCCAGCCAGTTGTTCACAGAGCCTGCCTGCCTCCTTCCCACTGAAGGCAATAATGTGGCTGAAGTCTTGGAAAGCATGAGGGTTGTTTTTTTTCCCTAGTATTTGTTTTATTCATCACCATTTTGCAGCAAAATTCAGCTCTTTCCATTACTGAATTGTGCTGGAAAGGGTCCCCTGGCCTCATCCTCCTTCTTCTGACAGATGCACCCAAAACAGACACAGAGCTGATGGTCTGGTGACACACTGGGAAAAAAACAACTGAATCACAGGCTCGGTGAACTTTAGTATTTGATCCTGTAAGTTAATATGGACAACTAACCACCACTGCCTTGTGCACACCAACTCCCTTCTTGCATGCTGACTTGAAGAAAACTCCCAAAGCACTTAAACAGCCCTCCTTTAGGGGAAAAAAAAAAAAAACCTCTGAAAGGGTCAACTTTCCAGCCTAAGACTTGAAATAATTCTGCTTTGGGGATATCAAGGTTTCCATGCCACCAGAATGGTATGATTTTACTTTATTTAGGTTAACACAAGCCCAAGAGCCAAGGGGGACTACATCCTGTCCTAGACTACTGACCAGGAGTAAACTGAGAGACACCAGCCCAGGAAAGTTAAGATTCTATAAACACATAACAACAAACAATAAATAGTCTTTGTCACCAGAAAGCAGCTCATTTCCAGTTCCAGAGTGAAACCCACCTTTCATTTCTCTTTCTAGGAGGTTCCTGGTTTGCAATTCAGAATATCAGTGGCTTTTTTTTTAGTAAAGAATAAAAACAAACAACCCCAAACACTGGAAAAGTTTCAAGGCTTCCTCTGAGCCACATCCACATGTTCCCTCACCCAGCTGGCACCAAACCCTGGATACAGACATCGACTGCCTCTGCTCACGGGTAACACTGACAACACTGACAAAGTCCATCTAATAAAGGGGCTTTGGTGCCAAAGGATCAAACCATTTCAATGTGCAGGAGGAAAGCAGCAGGGGCTTAGAGACAGGAAACAGCCCATTCTGTTCATCTTCCAGGTTCTCATAAAATAGGAGCACAAAACCTTTAAAAATCACCAATTCTCAGTGTCCTTCAAAAGGGTCTGAAAATTGAGGAGAAAGAGGGAGAAGTTTCTTGCAGAAAAAAATTTAAGAGGTTTCAAGTATTCGTTCTTCGTACTGGCAGCAGGAAAGGAATTATTGTGGCTCTCAAAAAGCTGCATTTTGAAGGATTCCTTCTGAACTGGGCAGGACAATGCCATCTCATTTCTTCTATTGTAAAGCAAAAAAAACCCATAATTCACTAACTGCAACTGCCATCACTTCTTGAACTAGAAAGTAAGCAGAAACTAAGAACAAGCTAGATTTATTGCCTTCAGCTGAGCTGTGAGACTCTCCTGTACTTTCAGAATGGCAATGCTTGATACTTGATCAAAGCTTCAATAATGGGGCTCCAACTCTGAACAAATAACGAGAAGAGGGACAAAAAGCCAACCTCAAGCACTGCCAGCAAAAATCCTAACCAAATACTAACCTTAAGCAACCTAAGTCATTGCTTACAGCCCTTGATGATGCAACTTCAGCAAAACAGGGGGCAGAGGTGGTCTGGGACATCCAAATCCTCCCCCATGATCCTGCCTACAGACCCAAAATGGGCCCAAAATAGGAATCTGCTGCATCTTTCTGCTGGGGAGACCTCTGGGGAACAAAATAAAGGGGGTGAGAAGAAACCCATAAAACAGAGGATGACAGCAACGCCTTTGCTAGCCTGACCCTCTTCTCAGTCTTTTTTTCTGGGAATGAAGACTGGGGAGACAGGGCAGGAAGATGCCAACTCTGCTCCTGTACTGGACACTGCTCAGGAGAGTCCGAGGGAGACAAACTGCAGGAAGAGCTGCCCATCCCCTGGAAAGAAATTCCATCAGCCTTAATTTAGTGAAGGGGAACACTCCCATAACCAGTTGGGGGTGTGGGTAGAGTCTAACTAGAAGAGCCTGACTAACTTCTGCCATTATATCTGCAGAGCACACGAGGCAAAAAAAAAAAAAATTCAGAAAGACAATTTACAAAGCCATTTAAACCTAAGTCACAAAGGGCAGTGGGACATAGAGGTGTGGGATGCAGAAAGTGTCATGGGCAAGGCTCACATCTCTGGATCCATCTCCACAGGGAACCCAAGACCTAAGCTATTTCTCAACTCCTACAGAAAAGGGCTGAAAGCCAGCGAGTGAAATTAATGCCCAAACAGCCTGAGCTGAACCCACTCCACAGATAAGTCAGGAGCTACAGTTTCTACTGTAGCTGTTTACAGTGTATGATATCAGCACTAATGTACTGTACCACTTAAGTATCATGTGTGCAAGGACCCAATTAACTGGAGTCTTGTCTGAAGCACGAACAAGGCTGTCTAAAAGGCAGGTGTAAGAGGTGAATCAGAGAGAAATGCCCCCAGGGCTGACTGCTCAGCAAGAGATGAGATACAGAATTCCATTATGCTGAGAATGGGAAACTTTCATGAGGTTAAGCAGGCACAAGTAAACCATCACAAAACAGTTGTTCTGCTCCCTCTGAGTGTCACAGGGTCTTAGGGGGCTTTAGGATCTTTATAGATAAGCAGATGGAGCAGTACCCACAGGTTGGATGGGTACACCACAGCTATAAATGATTCAGAAGACAATTAGACATTTTGGGTTGTTTTGCTGTTGTGGTTTTTCTGTGAGAGTGTGGGAGTGTGTCCTTGCTCCTTCCTCAGGAGCAGGCAGCCCTCACTCCTGTGTCAGGAGATAACAAAGGATCTAAAATAACTGCAAAATGAATTAACAGCACTGAGGTTCTAGGCAGAGATCCTTCAAGAATCCCAGGTCTTATTTCCATTTCCTCCTACAGAGCAGATGGGCACATGTATGTCCTCTCAGTGATCACTTTTTTCAAGGCCAGAATGACATACTTCTAATATTCCTGATAGAAAATGGGGCACTCTGTAACATTGCAAAGACTCAACTTCAACAGCAAAGCAACTTCCACTGCTGTGCCAATTGCTACACCAGAAGTCAGCCAGGGAAAACACGAAAATGTTCAGTTTGCTCCCCCCCACAGAAGGGAAGCTGTGCCTGCAGCCCTAACCCAGGTGTCCTCTGGCACCTCCACGTCCTGCCTTCACTCCAACCCTGCCTGAACTCACCTGCTAAGTCTTCTGAGTGAAGACTGAAGTCTTCAGGAGCTCAACAGCATGAGAGAAAAGCCTGGAGAATGCTTTATCTGCATTTTTATCTCCTGCAGTCTGAAGCTTTCGTTATTTCTTTCCCCGCTTTCTACTTTAGCGCACCAAGATGGACCAACACGGGCAGCCTGACCAGTGCTTTCTATCTGCTGAGCTCAAGAGAAGCATTACAGGTGAGAAGCTCAGGGATCAAGCAAGCAGCCCAAAGTGGCGAACAGAGGGAGCTGGAGCTCTGCTCTGGGATTCTGAGAGGTCTGTGACACAGGCAGAGGCACAGCTCCCCCTCCCCGGCAGGCATTACGGTGCCTCCCCGCAAGGCAGCACGGCTTTTGTTAGCCCAGGGACCTCTGATAAAGGCTGGCAGAGAGCTGCTGGCCACCACTGCCCGGGCAGGTTCTGTGGGAAAGGCCACAAGTGCCACCACTCCGGCTACACCCGCGGAGCTGCCAGCAAGGCACCCCCGGTGCAGCTGCCGTGTGCCCGGCCCCTGTGCTCACAGGCAGCTTTCCCAGCTCACAAGCAGGCTGCAGGCACCTGCCAGCCCATCCCACCTCCCTGGCAGGCTGCCGTGCTGCCAGTGCCAGGTCAGAGACGTCCCAGGGCCTGCAGAGCCTCCTCCTGCCTCTGGATACCAACCAGCATCCTTAGAGGCACACTCTGGCTGCAGGAGAGCAGGCTGGGTGACCCACACGGCAGAGGTCATGGCAGGACAACAACAGCCACCAACCAGTATGAAAAAGGGCGGCAAACACCCCAATACTGAACCTTCTCCAGCACCTAAACTGCACTTCATCAGTGGTGATCTCAGCACAGACGTTCCCCTGCTGAGGAATTACCAGGCTCTGAGCAGCTCTCAGTTTCCCAGGGAACACCTTTCCTCTCTGGCACGAGATCCCCACGTTTCAGCTCTCTCCACACTCTGTTTTTTTCCACCCTTCCGCAGCGCAAGCTTTGCAGAACACGGAGGTCTCACGCCACAAATCAGCAAACAGAGCCGCTGAAAGGGTAAACAGTGTGAGCAACCACGCTGGAACAGGGCCCAGCACTCCGTGGTCAAAGGCTTTAGGATCAGAGAGACACACAGCAGACCAGGTACTCAAACAGGAATAGGAAGGAGAAGAATCACTTGTCTTTCAAGTAGTGGCCGGTTCCATGTGCCAGCAGCATTATTAACGCTGATATTGAGCAGATCTCTCAGGTCCTATGAAGTTCAGACCCCTCCCGATTGGGGAAAGGCAATATATGAAATAAAATTATAAAATGTAAACGAAAAAAAAAAAAAAAAAAGAAAAAAAAGCTTCGTGGTCCACTGCATTAGCCAAACTTGCCAAAAAACACTGCAAGAGACCCTCGTGGTGCCCGCGAGAACAACGGACAACAAACCAAGCCTTGGCCGGAGAGCTGGTGCCAAACCCAGAGAGAAAGCCACAAGTCACAAAGTCATCCTGTGAGCCGGCGTGAGACGCCGAGAGCCCACCTCTGCTCCTGCTGCTCCTTGCTCGGGGGAGGCGCTCCCGGCCTGCCCGGGGCATCCCCCGCTGCTCCCGGGGGTGGCTCCGGGGCTCCCCCCGCCCGCAGCTGCCCCTTCCCACCCCTTCCCTTCGGTACAAACACAGCACAGAAGTCCAGCTGTGCGGCAGCACCGCACCCACAGAACCGCAGAGCGGGTCAGGTTGGAAGGGACCACATCTGTCCCAGCCTCCCCGCTCGAGCGGGGCCATCCCAGAGCACGTGGCACAGGATCGCACCCGTACGGTTCTGGAATATCTCCAGCCAGGGAGACTCCACACCCTCTCGGGCCAATCCGTTCCAGCCCGTGGCCCCCCCAAACCCTCATCCCACCCCAGGATGGGGGGCACGGCCGCCCCCCAGCTCTCCCCACCCCATCCCATTCCCGCGGATGATGCAACGTGCGGCCACAGGGATGGGGCAGCCGCTGCCTGTCCCTCCCACCCCGCCCGCGCTGCGGCCGCCACCTCACCCGCGCGATCCGGGACACCGCCGCGGCGGCGATGGGGATGAAGATGATGATGATGAGGAGGAGTAGTAGGAGGATAACCAGGCTGAGGATGAGGAGGGTGAGGATGAGCAGGATGCGCGGGGGGTTAAGAGGAGCGCACGAGCCGCTCGGCCACGCCCCCCGCTCCGCCCTGACCACGCCCCTTCAGCCCCGCCAAGGGGCGGGAGCGGCTGCGCTAGCGCTGATTGGTCACTGTGGGGGCGTTGGCGCGTCCGAGCCAGCCAGTGGGAGGGCGGAGCGCGGGAGGGGCGGGACCGGCGGTGTCCAGGGATGTCCAAGGATGTCCAGCTGTGTCCAGGGATGTCCAGCTGTGCCCAGGGATGTCCAGCGGTGTGCAGAGATGTCCAGTGGTATCCAGCAGTGTCCAATGATATCCAGAGATGTCCAACGGCATCCAGGGATGTCCAGGGATGTCCAGCAGTGTCCAGTGTTGTCCAGCGATGTCCAATGATGTCAATCTGTGTCCAGCAGTATCCGCTGATGTCCAGCGGTGTCCAGTGATGCCAAGCGGTGTCCAGCAGTGTCCAGTGATGTGTATTGATGTCCAGTGGTGTCCAGCAGTGTCCAGCAATGTCTAGCAGTGTCCAGCAGTGTTCAGGAATGTCCAGCAGTGTCCAGTGGTGCCCAGCAATGCCCATGGATGTCCAGAGATGTCCAGCAGTGTCCAGTGGAGTCCATCAATGCCCAGAAATGTCCAGCGGTGCCCAGATCGCTGAGGGGAACTGGGGGGGGATATGCCTGGGTTTATCCACAGGATCTTCCAAAACTGTGTCCAGTTCTTGGTCCCTCAAGTCAGGAAGGACATTGAGGGGCTGGAGCGAGTCCAGAGAAGGACAATGGAGCTGGTGAAGGGTCTGGAGCACAAGTCCTGTGAGGAGCGGCTCAGGGAGCTGGGTGGGCTCGTCCTGGAGAAAAGGAGGCTCAGGGGAGACCCTGTGACTCTCTGCAACTCCCTGAGAGGAGGTTGTAGCCAGATGGGTTCGGCCTCTTCTCCCCAGCAGCCAGTGACAGGACAGGAGGACACAGTCTCAAGCTGTGCCAGGGGAGGTTTAGGCTGGACATCAGGAAGAATTTCTTCACATAAAGGGTGATTCGACATCGGAATGGGCTGCCCAGGGGTGTGGTGGAGTCACCATCGCTGGAGGGACTGACTGTGGCACTCAGTGCCATGGTCTAGTTCACGAGGTGGTGTTCAAAGGTTGGACTTGACAACCTCAGAGGTCTTTTCCAGCCTAATTGACTGTGTGTCCCTGGAGAGAGGGCTGTGCCCAGGCCCTGGCCTTTGAAGGTGTTTTATTCATGCACCCGTTGGGCAGTGGCTGTAGGGGACACACACGTGGCTGCTGGTGGCTCCTGAGCACAGCCTGTGGTAGCAGCTCCTTGTCTGTTTTGGGGAGAAAATACCCACCACATCTGAGGGGCCCTGTGAGGGAGCTTCATGGGGCAGCAGACAGGTGCTCCCCCAAAAAAACACCTCAGGGTTGTGCTGGCAGTGTGAGTCCCATCTCAGCTTGCTGAGGACAGCAACAGGGGGAGAGAGGTCCAGGCAGCCCTGAAAATACCCATCCCAGGGCAAGGAGGCTGGTGAAACATGGTGAAACATGGAATGGTCATCTCATTCCAACCCTGCCATGGGCAGGGACACCTTCCACTATCCCAGGTTGCTCAGAGCTCCATCCAATCTGGCCTTGGACACTTCCAGGGATGGGGAGTCCACAGCTTCTCTGGGCAATCTCTTTAAGTGCCTCACCACCCTCACAGTAAAGAATTTCTTCCTAATATCTATTCTAACCCTGCCCTCCCTCAGCTTAAGGCCATTCTGGTGGTGTCTGAGAAGGTGACAAGGTGTTCACCTGGGAAGTCACTGAGTGTCACAACAGCTGCACCCACAGCTGTTGTGAACAGAGCTTAGTGATGCACAACACGGGATGCAGGTGAATTTAATACACTCCATGCAAACTGTGTCAGAGTAATTCTTCACAACAACAAGGTGCTCTAAATTACGGAGTAAGTTTAAAACAAAACAAAACAGGAGCTCTTGCACGAAAGCAGGAAGTACTGAAAAGGCAAACCAGAGAGAAATGCTTCGAGATCACAGCCTGTGGCTGCGGGAAAATCCGATCAGCAATTTCTTCTGTATCTATAAAAAGTGCCAATAAAGAGAAAGGCAATTCAAGGAGGTCTGTTTTAGAACATGATTCACCCTGAAGTGTTCCATGTGTTTTAGGTAATCGAAGGAGTAGAGGCAGCTGTGTCTCCCCATCTGCACATACACATGCTGTGAAGTACAGCTACTTGGAGAGTATTGCATTCTGTATAAATATGGAAAATCAGAAATGGGATGTTTTAATCAAGTGGTAAAAGTGACAGAAGAGACTTCACAACTGGATGTGACTGGTCTGAAGCAGTTTCAGCATTACAAAGTCAAGGGTCTCTCTGGTAAGAAAATGGGTTGTGACTAGAACGTGGGGTGAAATTTAGGAAAAAAAAAAAAAAAACAACCAAACAAACCCACAGGAAAACCACTGAACAATTAAAAAGAAGAGCCAGATATTTCACTGAAGCAGCTGTTTCATTACACACGTTAAAAATCCACACAAATTGCAGAGAAACTTCCACACTGATGACAAATTACAGAACCACAGAATATTCTGAGCTGGGAGGGACCCAGGAGGATCGTCAAAATCCAGCTCCTGATTGAAATTACACTGCTTTTCCCCAGTCCCTTTCTGGGTGGAAGTAGATGCAAACCTACTTTTAGTTCCGTGTTCTCATTTTCCTAAAGAAAGAGTTAGTAGAAAATATTGCTCTGAAACAGGACAACTATTTGCATTAAATTGCAGTTTGCTTAGGTAGTTACATCTGAAATACGCACATAAAGTGAGGTTTGTACAAGTAACTGTAACAAACAAGTGACTGTTAGTCCCAAAACACAAACATCCACTGGAAAAACATGTGGAAACAGAGTGTAGCTTGTGTTTGGTGCAGCTAAATTATGGAATGGCAGAAGGGGAATGCAGAATGTGAAAACAGGGATGCTAAGAAGGCCTGGCCCCTGATATGGGTATCAGAAAAACCATGAGACACCAGGGCACACGTGAGGCAAGCACAGCTAAGCAGAAATCCATGAATATTTGGAACAGTAGGAGTGCATTTGCAAACTGCAGTCGTGCCCACAGAGAGTATCCAAGGAGGGATAACCATACCTCTCATGCCTTTCAGGAGGGACTGGGGAAGAGGCACTGAGTCAGCTGTTCTCTCTGAAGAAGTGCCAGCCTTGCAGCAACCACTGCAGCTTCAGGCGGGTGGGTGCCAAGGTATGAAATCATCAGCACAGATGGATATGCCAGATCCTGATAAATGTGAAAGGGATGCCTCAGAGGAGACTTGTAAGACCAAGTGACGGCGCCAGGCGTGTTGGAAATTATCTGACATGATGTGTGACCTTAAAGATCCTCTTGTTCCAACACCCCTGCCACGGGCAGGGACACCTTCCACTAGACCAGGTTGCTCAAGAGCTTCATCCAACCTGACCTTGAACACTTCCAGGGATGGGGAGTCCACAACTTCTCAGGGCAACCTGTTCCACTGCCTCACCACCCTCGGAGTAAAGAATTTCTTTTTAGTATCTATTCTAACCCCACCCTCCTTCAGTTTAAAGCCTTTCCCCCTTATCCTATCACTACATGCCCTTGTGAAAAGTCCCTTTCCACTACACGGAGTTTTGACTTACAGAATAAACTGACTTCAAAGATCTCAAAGAGCAACACCAACCCACACTGTGCCATGGGCATTACCGGCATTAAAATCAGTCATGGTGCCTGGGAATGAACACACAGAGCTTTTCTCCACTGCCCACTAATTAGATCCATTAGGGCTGAGCCCAATCAGTGGGACACACAGATTATTCTTCAACCCAGCGTTGTGAATAAGTCCCATAAATCAGCAGGTCACTACCACGTCCATTTCTTGAGATCTGACAGTGCTTGGGTTTATTTCTCTTGCAAGGAACAAGAGGAGCTGCAGCGAGGCTTGGGATAAAATCAAAACTGTGATCTGATCAGTGTAGCGGTGATGTGACACCAACTGAAATACTAACATGGAAATAAACAGCTTGTTTAGGAATGGCAAGCAGAGGATGATGTTTCTTCTATCATTGATGAGTAAACGCTGAAGACTCAAAGGCTGAGGAGAGATATTCTTTGGACCAGTACAGTGATCAAAGGGGGAAGGAAAAAACACAAATGCTGTTGTGGTAGGATCACTGAAGGAGGAAGATCACGTGGAGGAGGCTTTTTGTGACCAGCTAATGAAGGCACTCGAAGAACCATCAGAGTTTTGTTGGTACCCATAGCCCTTTTGGGATGGGAGAGCACAAGGCTATCACACAATCTCATGGAAATGTTCTTATGCAAAGGGAAGAAAACACAGCCCAGGAACAGCCACTCCATATTTTAACTGCATGCACAAGGCCACAAACAATCTGGAGAACAGACTTCAAAATGATCTTGGGCAGACTGGAAATGAGATGAGGAAGTAAAATAGGAAGTTGGCTGATAAGGACAGATACAAAATTTTACAGCCAGACTGCAAAATTTCTCGAGTAGCCACTATCTGGACAGTAATTGTGTGGAGGGTATGACTGCAGTGCCAGGCAAGCCCCATGTGAGTCAACAGGGCCCTGCTGTTGTGCAAAAAGCAAACAGGGTGCAGGGTTACGCAAACACAACACATGGCACCCTTGGCACTGGCAAGCTTTGCTGGGGTACCTTGTCCCATCTGGAAAGCTGCATTTCCAAAAAAATAAAATGGCCCAGGCGGGATGGGGCCTGAGGAGCACAAAGTGTAGAGAGAAACGTGGCCCAGGAGTAGAGACTGAAGGAAGTGAAGTTGTTCAGAGAAAAGAGAGACAGTCAGAAACCTTGCTCAGATTACCTACCAGGACTACAAGGATAAAAACATAACAAGCCAAACCTCTCCAGAATGGAAAGAACGGCCCAGACATTAATGAGAGAATTACTTAGGCAGATTTTGGCCTGTCT